CAAATGTACCTGATTAAGAAGGGTGTTACTCCCCAACAAAAATCAATAATAAAGTAATCAAGTCAGAAGTACAAGGCTGAGGAAGAATGCACCGATGGAGAAAAGATAAGGGAATGAATATTCATCGGAAACCTTATAGGGGCATGGTGGATTGCTTCGAAAAGATGCAGAAGGAAGAAAAAATAATGTAATAGGATTGTGAGGGTAAGGTGAATGGGTGAAACTTGGACCTGAGAAAGTTGAACAGAAGAAAGAGGATTTGACCCCCAGACCTGGAGAAGAGACATTGGAGTTATGGAATCCAAGAAAGGGGAATATATCCTGATGTTAAGCCTAGGTATTTGTGGCAAGCAGACAAGAAGGACAAGGCATTTTCTGCACCAAAGAAAGGTGAGATAAAAAGTGTTCAATATGGACTGGACTATGAAGGAAAAACGTAAAGGTCAGAAACACATGATGAATTAAAAAGTGAAGGAAAAGAATCATATGGGGGGGGGGGAGAAAAAGGTAACATACCTGAGGAACCATGTTCAGAAATTATGAAAAAGGCCTAGTTAGATCCATGACAGAAGTGGTAGAAGATATGGCAAAGGAAGGTGGTGGGAATCCCCCTTGTCACAAACAGATTCATAGGAGGAGGTATATCAGGTTCAGAAGAACATTCAGTCTGCATAAGAGACTCCATCTCCCATTGCACAATAGCTGCCACTTCCTCAACAGACAAAGAGGAACCCAATGCCATTTAAGTTGTTTATCCACCATCAACAACACCTTTTTGTTCCACACCAGGCAAAGTGGAAATTACCTTTACTTGTAAAATCATAATATGGAAATAAAAGGTCATAAGATTTCCAGGTGCAGAAATGTTTGAAAACTCAAATCCAAATTTAATATTTCCACAGCAGTTGGTATTTTAGTAGATACCTCCACAAGAAACACCAGTATCACAAAAGCTCACAAACAAAAACAAATGCATGTCTTCACAAATTGAGAAGTTATGAATGAACAATCAATATAGAGGGAGTCAGCTGTGCTAGGAGGTTGTGTTGCCCTCCAATAAATGGAGGGTTGTCACATGCTCATTTGCATACAACAGTGTAGCAATACCACGTAGAAACACATGGATTTAGGTAGGACCCTCAAGGCTAGTAGTGAGCAAAAAGTTTGCATATAGAGGGCAGCACTGAGTCAAGAAAGCTATATGTGAAAATAGATTACAAGTCTTACAATAACTATGCATATTATTAATTTGAATTTATTAAGTTTATCTTCACAAAATTTGCCATGGTTTTATTAAACACTACAACACTGTTGTGTACAAAAAAGCATGTTTTTAATAAAGTATTTGTAAGACAGATTTGTCTGTAACTTTGTTAGCCTTTTCTGTACAAGTCTGAGTGAAAGGTAATTTTCATTCTAGGAATAAAAATATTTCTTTTCATCTTATGATTTTCATGTTTCATTTGCATAACTTATAGAAACTACTAAATGAATATTGGAAATTTCTTTTGCTAAAACTTTAAACTGTATATTTTTGTTTTTATAACTTAACACTAATTGTAACCTAATTGTCAATGTACAGTGAAATAAAAAGTGTTTCTATAACTTTCACCTCTGTGTGAGAGCTCATTATTTAAAGTACTCACTTTCAGTTGCCAGTTACAGGTTTGTATATATTTTTGTATATTATTCCTAAGAACTCGTCATGTTCTCTTGTAACTTTAAAGTTTCCTTTTTGTTTGTGCAGGAGACATTTGGCTTACAACTATAATTTATAAGTGTTTAAGTATTTGTTTAAGTTTTCCAGTGAGTTAGTAGTGTATCACTTGCCTCACAGTATAATCGAGTGTAGGTTTTCATTTAAAATATATGTTATTGTTATTATTTAGTTATGTTGAGAGAGAGTTAGTTTATTACGTAATGTTTTAACTTGGGGACACACTCTGTTTTTAATTATTTTATTTTTATTTGTTAGTTAAAGAGTGGAGTGCACACACACACTAGAACCATTAAACCTGTACTGTAATCATAAACCTACTTTTATTTTAGCTTTCAGTTTGATTATTACATTTTTATTCTATTTATCTTGAACCCTAATTAGTATTTTACTGCAAAAGGCTTTCAGATTTTCCACCACTTTTCAAAACATTTGTGAGGAATTTCAAATCATTAAGGCCTTTTTTGTAAAAAATTGTATCCAAATCTTTAATTAACATTTTGTTTAGAACTTCCCTTACAAAAGTTTACACCCCTATAGTTTAAACTTTCTATGTGCCAGTGCTATCAATAACTATGGTGCTGTGTTTTACTGGACCACATGGTTTTAGTTTATAAACAGTTTTTGAAGATACAAAGACAAGTTTTATATACTTAAGCAGTCTTAAAATTTACACTAGTACACATTGAGCTAAGGATTCATTCACTATATGTATTATAAAAAAATACATCTACAAGCTAGTACATAAAAACTTTCTAGTATCTTTTGCCAAGTGGTTCATAAGTATGACAAAATTCCCCTTAGTAAATGATTTGTCAGTTTATACTGTATCAGTGATGAATGTATTTTGTATAAAAAGTCCCGTACTATTCATCTTATAAAGCAAAATTTGTATTTAAATTGTTATCCTTATCCATCAAAACAAAGCTTAGTCTCTAGTTGTTCTCATCGGGTGATCTCTTGGAAAGAAATCTTCATTTGAAAATAGGTTCTTTTTATTCTGTTTGTATGAATATTTTTATGAATGTCTACTGCCTTTAGCAAATTAATTTATTAAGAGAGAGAGAAGACTTGCTTTCAGTATTTAAATTAGTCAATATATACTGGGAAGATATCCAGAAATCAAGTTTACCCTAGTCTCAAGATTGGAAAATGTGACATTTGCATGAAATGCAAGCAATGTGGGCGCAGTTACTCTTCTTGAAGTTAAAACAGTCAAAAAGAGAAGTTGTCCAAAAACATTAAAATTGAATAAAAAGAGGTCAAGAAAGCTGTGAAGAAGAAAGAATAATATATTTCGTTCTTCCATTATAATCACTGTCATTGTTTTATTTCATTCAGTGTTTTACAGGCTTAGATATGATTGATCAGATCTTAACCAAAAACAGTAATAAGAAATCGTTGAAAAACATTTATTTAGTGTTCAGACTGTCCTAGACATCATGAACATTTTGAAAACCATTCTTACAGTGCAAATCAAGGTCAACGGAAATGACTTTCTATGTGCCAGTGCTATCAATAACTATGGTGCTATGTTTTACTGGACCACATGGTTTTAGTTTATAAACAGTAGTAAAAGTAGTCTTACATTGGAAAGACTTTTCATCAACACCAAAACAACATTTTGGAAGATTCACTGCCTTTCTTAAATCAAGAGATTAAATCTAAACTTACACAAAGCTTTATATGAGAAATTGGTCCAGTGGATTTCCACTTGTTCAAAGCATGGCAATTTTTGTATACCATTGACTCATGGTTTTAGGGTTAATTCAAATTTTTTTAAACTTTTGAATCAGTCAAGAATGTGTACATATGTGTATGTAAAATAATTGTTTTTCAATTGAAGTATACTGAAATAAACATTCACTTAAGAAAATTTAGCAGATTTTTATTTAACTTGTGATTAGTTTACAATACAATTAAATTATCAAAAGTAAAGCAGTTGAACAAATTATTCTGTTACACATCCACTTATTTTTCTTAAAAAAAACATTTTATTAAAAAGGCCATAACTGAAACATTAATTGACTAAGGCTGTCCTTGACATTCGAAAGAAATATTGCATAAAGTTTTAACCTTTCCTATAAATCCCTCTTTTTATATGCACATAAATATCTGATGCCTAAAAAATATGCTTGTTGACTGTGAAACATTTATATGTGTATTATATTTGCTATGCATGGATGCCACTACAAGTACTTTGTACTTAAAAGTGTGAACATATAAACTGTTTGGGGAATTCACAATATTCTGTACCAAATACTTAGACTATCTAAATATTTTCCATGTTTTTGACAATGGTTGCATGTTTTGCCCACTGGGTACATTTGAACTATGTTTTTTGTCAAGTAGAAACTAAACAGTAAAAAAATTAACACTAATACTAAATTCGTAAATTCCAGGCAAATGATTTAGCATCTAAGGAATAAAATGCTTGTCACCCCTTCAGCTTTTCCACAAATATGTAGTTCATTTGTTATTTCACAAGCAACTCTACTTGAAGATCTATGATTATAATTATTATTTGTCTCAGTATACAAGTTAAGAGTACAGTTCAAGTCTTGAACAGTTTAGTGTGGATATATTATTTTTAAACAATTGAATTTTCATTATTTGTATCATTAACTTCTAAAGCTATTTCATGTGCATCTCAATCCAATATGGTTTAATTTTTTAACAGTAAATTTAACATATGACTAACATTCACCTCTTGCAACATTAGCAAACTAGAGTTGAAGTTAAAATTTTTTCATTAAGCAAGTTATATCTTTCAGTCACCACCACAGTTAGATTTTTTAAAATACACTGGAAAAGATTAACATGAAAATTAACACAGAAGTAACAGACTTGATCTCTGCATATGTTGGAGCTATGAATTGGCTGTATTTACACCCAGTCAGTTAAAGTAGCAATTTTTGTAAGATTAAAAAAAAACTCATAAAAAATCTTAAGCAGAAATGTATGATTTGACAGAATGATCAAAAAGGTTTTTCGTAGTGAGTTGTACAAACAAAGTACTACATGTATATGTACTTCATTCCCATTACTTTATTTAAAGATACAATAATAATTCATGTTTACTAAATTCTGAATATAAGATTTACAGAAGTTCAAGGATAAACTTTCTGGTAAGAATATTGTTTTTTCTTTGCTGGGTAGTTTCCAATTCTGCAATGTATGTAATCTCAAAATTGTTTAATTTGACACCACATTGTTAAAATTTATAATAAGATCCACTATAACTGGCAATTCAGAATTTTCTGAAATATAAGACTACTTCTCATTTATTAATCTTTGCACTCTAAGTAGGAATATAAAATTGTAAGTAAGTGTGGTGCAGTAAGGAATTTAAATTCTGTTGTGATATTGGCAATATTTTTGTAATCCTAAAGTATGTTTATTATACATTTAAGTGTCAGATGCAAAAAATAGTAAATTTTTACTGTGGGAAGCCAATACTAAACAAATTGCCTATCTTATATAAATAAGCACCTAGCATGAGCTATAATTAATTTTGTATTTTTATTTTGAAGGAGGTGAATTTAGAACTCCACAAGTTTGATGAGTTGGACTCCCTAATATGTGGCATTCATTACATAGAAGCAAATTGTGAGGAAGAATGTTATTACTTTAATAATCCTCTGAATGAAGAACTCTGTGAAAAGAAACACTTTGACTTCAGTAATCCCTATCCTTTTTTGGTCGTTAACATTGGATCTGGAGTAAGCATTTTGGCTGTGTATGCACCTGGACATTACAAACGTGTAACAGGCACTAGGTGATCATTTGAATTATTACATTTTAAAAGACATTTTATTAATAATCTTGCTGATTTTTTTTGCAAACAGGGTTAACAGTACTTTGTGTGTGCTTTAATTTCCATTTCTTAATCGTTACTTCTCTCATATTTAATAATTTTGATGATAACATATCTGAAATCAATGTTATGAATGGTGTGTCTTTATGAAATATTTTCAGGCATATAATTAACAGAAATATGGCAAATTGAAACATGCTTAGCTCTTTCCATATGGGTCAGTTGATGCAACTGACTTTCTAACCATCAGAGTTTCCATACTGTAACTTTTAACCCCCTCTCTGTGGACATCCATTTTTGTGCAAGTCACAAGGTTTTTGTGTGTTACATGATATACCAGTATATATAGTGTAATAATCATAGCTAGTAATCCATATTTTCATAGTATATAAGTTTTAAGTTCTTACTTTTATAAGGCAATATATAAAAAAAAAATCCAGAATTTCCCCTAGCATGAGAATTGTGACATTTACTCTCTAGGCATTTTCTCTTCTCTAATTTATTTACCACTGCTCCAAGAAATACAAAAATTTAAAGTAAATTACTTATTATAATATCATCATCACTTAGACAAAGCATAATTTTCATAGCTTTCAATCATATTTAGTTACAGAGCCATGAATAAGACAACCAGACCCCTCTTGCCACTCCCATCTGTCACATCCTTTCTTTCAGGATTTGTTAATAATTTTCTCTTATGTTTAATACTATATTATTTATAACCAATAGAAAGCCAAGGTTTCCATCTATCAAATAACATATTGTAATATGTTGTTTTCTGAACAGAGAATTGTCAATTTCTCTTTTAGTACAAGTTTCATCACCAACAGGAAACATATTGACAACCTTGGATGAATTTATAATGTCTCTTGTCATGTAGTTAGAAAGCCAGAACAATTGTGATAGTTATGGGACATTGTCTTCTTTTTGCATGTTATTATTCTATGTTCTTTGGTGCATTATTTAATTAAATAAAAATTATTTAGTGCACTACTACCATTAGTATAAAAAGTATGGTGAAGTGTTATCGATAGTCGATAGCAAAAACAAGAAGATCCAGGTAAGTCCTTTATTTCTTGTTTTCATTTGTATTCTTTATTTATTATTATAAATGTAACTAAAATGTAAAAATAGAAAACTTGCAAGTATTTCATACATGATGTAATTGGATAGCGTAATGTAAGTTTCATGTTTGTTGAGTGATTTACAACTTATAATGGTATAAATAGTAATGAGACAGGGTTAAAAGGGCAATAAAATACTAAAATATTAAAATATAAGTATAAATAGATGTATATTGTTACAAGTTTCAAGCTATTTAGTTTCATATAACAATTTGAAATCATTCTAAAAAGAAAATTTTAGATTTATTTAAATTTTTTGAGGTGGTTACAAGGTTAATCAAATTAACCAACCTTGTATAAAGTTAGTTTTTACACTAGTGATCGTCAATAATTTTCCTCAGCACTGCAAGTATTAGATATGTTTGTATTGCTCATAATTTAAGGAGATTTGCAGTCTAATCAACAGACTTTGTTTCCTTTCTTTCTTTAAACTATGAGTTCTCAAGTTCATCCAGCTTCAACATCTGGTGTGAGTGAGGAATATCCTCACACTAGTCAAGTTTCTAACTTGGTTACAGGAGACATGTTAACTGTGGATGATGTGACAGTGATTGTGCATAGGGTAGTGGGTTCCATTATGCAGCCAGGAGTTTCAGCACCTGTATGTTTGCCTGGCATTCCTTCCCCCCATTCTGAGAAATATGATGAGGAAGGTGACTTTAACTGTTTGTTTCCTCCTCCTGGCTATGCCTCAGGAGCCCCTCTTCATGTTGAGGAGAATTTTTAAACTTCTTCACATTACTGGGACCTTATTACTCAGTTATGTTATGTTCTATCTCTCGATCCTGTGTCATATCACACTTCCTGTTCCCTCCTTCATAACCCTCACCCTAACGAATTTTGTTTTCCCCCGTCTCCTGCTTTTGGTGTTCACACTACTTCCTTTTTAGATCATCACTGTGCCTACAATCTTATACCTTGTTCTCCTCACCTTTCTGATTCCTTTATCATGTCATGCAGTCAATTGAACTTCCTCTTTCTGTAGTCACAGTTCTTAAAAGTCTTTTTTGCATATGTAGAGGGCAGACCCATTAGGTTCACTTTTACTCTCCATTTCTCAATTCTTTCATCTTTGCCTAATCCTCCTTTCTCTGCTTCCTTACCTTTCCTCTCAGTACTTTATGTCAGAAGTATTTCCTCAAGCCCCAGGTGACTTTGCTGGTGATTCCTTTACCATTCTCTTTTTACCATGGCCCGTACTTCTCCTTCTGCCCTTTCCCTGCTCACTTGGATCATTTGTTGTTAGGACTTGTTGGATAGGGATACCCTTCTTTCCTGTTTTTGTTTTCCCTTCTACTTTTTATGGGACCTCTGCCTTGCCCTATTTCTTCACTCTTCTTTTTTTGGTAGTATTCCTGATTCCATTTGAATTATTGACAGAAGCTTCCCAGCATCAATTCTTCGTAATTTCATTGGTTACTCACCTGTTCCAATCCTCCCATTCCTCTCTCAATCATTAAATGATTGTCCCTCATTTTTGTATGGAAAATTTCTTATTTCTTTGTTGGTCTTTTTCGCAAGACTATGGATGACCAAGGTTTATGTCTCGGATGTATTCCTTTATATTCCCACTGCAGAAGTTTGAGATATTTCCTTCGATTAATTCAGTTCAGGGCTCTTCCATTTGGCATTGTGTTGTTCCCCTACATCTTCAACAAAGTGATCAGGGCTTTTGTGTATCATCTGCATAAACTTGGTCTATATTTGGTTATGATTCATTCTGATATCTCCACCTTTGTTTCTTACATCAACTGTCGGGGGGGAACCAGATCCAGTACACTTTGTTTTTAAACCATAGACCTTCTTTGTGGACCAATTCTCAATGAGTTTGCCACATTGCCTGTCATGTAATAGGTGCTATGAACCTCATTGCAGAACAGCACTCTTGATCAGACCATATTCTGCCCACAGAATGATCTCTCTACCCTCAAGTTTTCATATGGCTGTGTTCTCTTCTGAGGACTCCACTCATTGATGCCTGTGTCATACCTTTCAATTTCATCTTACTCTCTTTTGATCTCCTGTTCCCCATCCTTCAGCCCTGGCTGTTGATGCTTTCAGTCAACATCCTTTCTTGGATGCTTACATGCCTAACTTTTACCACAGGTCCTGGCATTGATTCACAACTCTCCTTGTCATGTCCTCTTGGTGGCACCTCTTTGGCCAGCTCAACCATGGTTTCCTCATCTTTGTCTACTGTTTACCCATCCCTCTCTTCCCCTTCCTCCCACACCTTCCCCCTTGCTCCAACCTCACATATTGCTATTCTATCCAGGGATCACATCCCTCTACCTTCATGTTTGGGATTTGTCCAGTCCATCGCCTGTCAAGCTAGACTTTCCCATAGGGTAACCTCTTCTCTTTGCCTCTTTACTCTCAGGGATTCTTCTTGTTTCAGGGACTTATCTCTGTTTACCTTTACAAGCTGGGTCAACTAACTGCTCCATTTGGTGTACTTGTTATTGGGTTTGATACCCGCAGACTGTTCCATATTTTTTCTCATCAGATTCACCACCTCACCATTCCCCTTTCCTTTCATTTCCAACAGCCACTTGATGAAATCCTCCAGGATGGCATGTGGACTTTGTCTCACACCTTCATCACCCACTATCTTCACCATCTGGCTGTCTCATCTCCTGCAGGTTACTGCCTGCCTTCATTCACTATCCTCTAGTGTACTCACCATCCTTTGTCAGGCAAGTACATTCTTTCTTTTTTTTTTCTAGCATTGCTCCCAGAATCTCACCATTTGGCTGGTGGCTTCCAAGGTACACTTCTTTCCCAAAATTCTGCATCGAGTCAAGATAACAGAAGTGCTCATACCATCTATTCTGGCTCTATGTATGCCCACTGTTGAGATGGGGTTTTCCACAAGGTCATTCGAGGTATCCTACTGGTTTATTATGATATCTGTCTACTTTTTGATCTAGATCCTACCTCTTCCATGGATTATCATAGAGAAAGCCAGCACCAAGAGTTGCTTTGCCTGCTTCCTTGGCTTATGCTTGATGGCTTTGCAAAATAGGCTTACATGGTCACCTGTTGAACTGTTTCCAGTAAAAGACCTCTCTGGCTGAAACAGGACTGATGGAATTTCTATGAATTTTTCCCCCTTTTTTAATCAAGTAAAGCAAGGAGACTGTTACCACATACCAATTTCTAGCTGCTGGGGTGGTGTACCATGGACAACCATCACTGATTGGGACCTGACAGCTGGGTCTAAAACACAGGTACCAGTCAGTTTGAAATGAGGCAGTGGTGACACTGTCAGTGTACTTCAGGTCACCTCTCATATCATTATACCAATAACACACTGGGAGCACTTACTAGTTTACTGTGCTCCTCCTACAGTCTGCATCTGTTCAGTAGAGTTGAGGTGAGCACATTCCAAGATATCTGCCCACCTCTTGCAGCCTTTGACTTTCCAGTTGAGCTGAGATGAACACACACTACTATACCATGCCTTCCTCCTGTCTGTTTATTAAAGTTGAGATGAACACTCACTATTTGTTTCATGTTGTGTAATTTATGACATGAATTTCTGTACCCTCCTCCCACAGCTGGTGTTGGTCCAAGAGTTTGCTGGTAGAGTTGAGCCAAGTATGCTCTATTAGTCTATGTGCCCTCCTCCCACAGCCATTGATGGTCCAGTAAATCTGACAGGAGAGTTGAGGTGTGTACAAGGTACAGTCTGAATGTGCTCCAGCCGTGCCACGTGTATGGGCCTCTTGTTTGCCTCTTCTTCCTATCTATTCTGGATGAAGAGTATACCCTGGAAGAGGGGAGATATGGTTATCCATGAATGTACCCCTATGGAGTCCCTGCCATCAGGTGTCT